CACCGCCAAAAACGCATTTATCAAGAGTGCAGCTTCAACCTGAGCTACTCAACACTCCCAGCCTGTCTGTTTAATTAGCTACACAAATAAACGCAAATGAAATTAAAAGCAAGACTATTATGCGAGAGTCGCCTTGCGCGCTTTCTATCTTATCTCCATGATGGCACTGCCAAAAAGTTCGCTGAGTGTGCAGCGCACTTGAAACTTTCGCCAAACTGCAACATAAATTCATATACTCGTATACTATATACTAGTAGTTTTCATTAAAACTTTTGACACAACAGTTGTCAACGCTGTCGCGCTTTTCTGTTGATATTTTGCACGTTTGCCCAACGCAAGAGTCCCTCTTCAGTCTCCGACTGTAACAGAAACAAACGCAAATGCAAACGAGTCCTGGCAAATAGAAAAAGTCAGTATATTAATTTTTGTTGTTGGCACTTGCACTTGTTTGCATAGTTTGTCGCATTTTAGTTTTTAATCTCATCAAACGAGGTGGGACAACAAGAGGGGGATAAACTAAGTCAGAATACGCAAGTGCTGAACAAAACAATGTTGATTTCGAATCAAAAACTTCAGGTAACGCACAAGTTTCGAAGTACTACTTGTATTCGGTATGTGATGCTATCACGTCAAAAATAATTTCCAACTGTCGAATCCGTGTTAGATTTTTTACAACGGAAACCTAAACGTACGCATGAATTCTACTACCTTGAAACGTATACTTACTTATATATTTAGTTGGTGCCTTTGAATTTATGGATAGACTAAATTTACTTGGCTGCGATTCAAAATAACTATTTCAAAATTTTTGGTAATTTTAAATGTTTTGCTTCTACCACACATTAGAGGTACATGTATGCATGAATTCAACTCGACATACACGTATTTATTATACCCTGTACCCGTAGGGTAAAAAGGGTATATTAGGTTTGTGCAAAGTGTGTAACATGCAGAAGGAAGCATCTCCGACCCCATAAAGTATATATATTCTTGATCAGCATGACGAGAGAAATCGGTCTAGACATGTCCGTCCATCCCTCTGTCAGTCTGGATGAACGCAAGGATCTCATAAACTATAAAAGCTGGAACAACCAAAGTTGGTATCCAGATTCTCCTAGGTCCGAGAAAGGACGAGTTTATTTTATTTTTTTGTAATTTCCCCCCCCTTCCCCCGCTACAGAATTTCGTCAATAGCGTCCACATTTCAAATGCTACCTAAACCAAACTTTGCACACATAATTTATATATACTTGTCTACTGTTGTTTAAATTTTATTCAATTCGGTCAATTCTAAGAAAAGTTATTAGCGAAACAAATTCTCTCCAGTACAACCCCCACAAGCTCCAGCATCGAGTTTGCTCCTTGTTCTTCCTTCTGCTAGTGCTAGAGGCGCTTATACCTCAGTGTCGGAGTTTACCTGGGTACAGGGTATTACACTGTCGGGCTTGCTCGACTGTAGCGTTCTCTCTTGTTTTTAATTTCGAACAAGTTGGCTACCAAGTATTAATTCTGTTCAAAAAGTACATCAATAAAACCCCAAGTACAAATTTCTAAGTTCTTTCTCAGTGTTTATTGCGAACGTGGCTGAATGCAGCCTCTAGTAATAATATTATTTTAAATATGAACAAACACATGTTCTTTTGGAACATTGGAACACAAATTGTGCCATTCTTATTACGCCAAGTGAAGTCGCCTAAAAGTTGGCAGCTCATTTCAACATTGTCACTTAAAATTAATAGCAAATTAACTTTTCTGCTTGCTGCTCGCATTGAACATTTTCTACAATCAGCGACCAAAGTTTTCAACTTAGCACCTGGTCTACGCCTACTGTGGCCTCCAATAAATTGAGTTACCCTTTTACCGGCGCATTAAGACTGCCAATTAATACAATGGCGTTGCAAATGATACTAATTTCAATTTGAAACTGCGTCCGGAGGCATCGTGCCATTTTGATGGCGATTAAGCTTACTTGGGCACAAACACTACCATCACTAGACATGGCGGGCCAACAAAGTGTACAACAACAGTTCGCCACTCGCCGCTCGGTAAATGAGAATCGACGCTGTCAACTCAACGAGAGCTCAACGCAGTCATTCTGGTGGAACTCTGTGGTCGTTTTCCCGTTTCTGGCCCGTTGTTGGCCACCTTGCACACGCAAATTGAAAACTCAAACGCCAACTTCAATTTGCGACGTTGTCTTGGCTCGGCGCATCTACACTTTACAGCTTACAACTTAACTCTGGGCAGCCACAAAAAGTAACTCTAGCTCGTCGTCTTGCGGACGTATTTAACTTTCAAATGCAGCAGAAGGCAGGCACGCCCACAAATATGTATAGTGGACTCTCGATATCCGTGTATTACAGAAGAAGTTTCATTTTCGATTACCAAAAGTCTCCAGCATACTTATACTCAGTTATATCATTTGTGATAATATGGATTTTAAACATTGCGATGGAAAGACCACTATCTATTTATATACCTCGAAATATAAATGTTCGTAATGCAAATTGCAATCTTCAATTATATGGTGTTTTATGGGATATGGGTTCTAATGGCTTATTAAAACAGAATTATTCACTACTCGCTACAGACTTGAATATCGACCCTAACATGAGAGTGGCATGGAACTGAACGAGCAGACAATTATTTCTTTATTGTATTTGATTCATTTGTAATTGTGAAATCTGCTCAGATGTTCTGCGGCAATGTAACGACAAATAGGCTTGAGAAAGGTAGTATGGTTAGTTTAGGTTGGTATGGCTGGGGTTATGGTTATAACACGCTCACTTCGGCCTGAAAGGCCATGTAATCTCTTTTGACCTTCCTCGTTCCTGTAGCCACCCGGTGCTTCTAAGGACCCTTGCGATATTCGCACATTCCTCCTCCTCTTCTTCATCTATACAGCTTCTGCAGAAGTCATTGAGAGGGATGCCTAGTCTTGCAGCATGCCTCCCTACTGGGCAGTGGCCAGTGAGCGTTCCCACTATCAGCGAGACGTCCATCCTGCCCAGATCTACTTGTAGTACGTGTCTTTTTGTTGTCCAGGGAAGATAAGGAAAGGTAGATCTTTTTGCTCAGAGGTTGGCTTTTTTGAGGTTCTACTGTGCCTGTGTGTTTGTCTTACCTTGCACGGCTGTCAGGCGTGCCATTACAAGCGATTTGCGCGCCATTTTGTTGCCATTTAAGCCAAGTAGCACTGCGGCAGCAGCTGGCACGCTACTTGTTACTTGCTGCTCCTGAGCTTGACAGTCACTTAGCGCGCGTTCAATTGTATGCAGCATTGACATGGCAAAAGCGGTCTAAGCTAAGCCATAAGCAAAGGCGCTTGCACTAAGTGCAAATCAGATTAAAGTTGTGGTCTGTGTTTGTGCCGGGCACAACACCTGTGCGAGTGGGCCCCCATCTGCAATCATTTGGTCTACGTCCGTCCACCTTGCTCGACTGTGCACAAAGTAAAAAGTTGAGCTCCTGCTGTCTGTCAATGTTTGTGAATGGTGGATGAGTGTCTGGCAGGAGCATCTATCTAGAGACACACAGATTCACTAACACACACACACATTCACAATCTTGGTTCTGTGCAAATTTTCCCAAGTTTGCAATTTTTTTGGTTTTTTTTTTAAGTTTGTCCAGCATTTGCAACTCATATCGTTTCTCTTGGGTCGTCGCTGTGGTCGTCGTGTGTGGTCCCATAGCGAGAAAGTTAGTCAAATGTGTTTTGAATAGATTTGTGTAATAAAGTTTTAATAGTCTCACATTTGAGTGTTTCTAATGATACATATGCTAAACTGTCAACCAGCGTATATATATAAATATATGCGTGTGTGTGTGTATTTGGTGAGATTGCGTCCATTTATGCGGGATAGAGTGTTGCTTTTCAAACTTTCGCACATTTTTCGCTGTATGTGCAAAATAAAAAAGCGGTTCAGGTGAATGGCAAACAGGAGGGGGAAATGTTTTGGAGAAAAGTTTTAAGCAATACGATAGCATCAACATAAGGACATAAAGTTGCTCTACAAACTTAATGTCGGGTGTTAACATGGATTTAAAGCATTTAACTACGAAATATGGAGCGTACAACTGTTTCAATTAATAGCGATTATTTGAAGAATGTCAATTTTCGATAAATACGAGTACTTTATTTTGTGAGTTTCCACATGACACATCTCTTTAGTTTTCACCTCTAGGAAACTTTGGACGAATGGCCTACGAATTCTGTAAATAACAGCAAAACAAAGTTTTCGTTGTCCATTGAAAAACACTTTTGGTGGCTTCAATAGGGTAGTTATAGATTTATATTGAATGGACATGATGGATCATGCTTTTAGGGTTATCCTTACAAGCTTACTACATTGCCTTTTTTTATGGACAAATATTGTATAATTTTATTGAAAAGCAATAATAGACAGTAAGTTAAAAGACATAACAGAAAAATATAAAGTTCAAGAAATAAAGTGATAGCTTTTTAAAGGCTACGAGGCCCTTCTTAGCCGAGCACTTCTTCTAGAACATTTCGCCTCTCTTGGGCAGACACTCTCTTAACCGGACGCGCACAGTGTTAATGTAAGTGAACTAGGCCCGAATGGAAAAGTTAAGTGGTTATGAACCTGCATCAAGATTTGAAGATATTTCTAACGAAAATAGTCTTAAACCAAATAGTGTTAATCACAATTTAAAAGCTTGAACAAATTTTTAAAATATGACTTTAATGCAAGCAGAATCTTATCTTCGAAAATATATTAAGTCCATAACGATCTATAATCGTTCAAATAGCAAAACACTTAAAACAAGCAAAACATTAAGAAAATTGGGCGAACAAAAGTTGGACGACGGTGAGTGTCCAGCCAAGAGGAGACCACAATAGATTGCAGAAGGCATACCCTGCTACATGTTGCACTTAAACATATAGCATCAGATTTTCAAAATTAAAATCAAAGGAAAGATTTCAAAACTATGCATAGTTCAGGTCTGAAAGACCGCTGATAAATAAATATTTCACTTACCTTGCCCAAATTGATGAAACCGTGGTCTTTGGCCACCGCATCGGCGATCCCATTATCACCATTCGGTATGTGCACCGCCCAGGTGTGCGTATAGTGTCCAACGCCATTTGACCCGCTCTCGCCTTCTCCGCTGACGCTCGCGCCTATCAGCTTGCTCGGGCTGCCGCTGCCGGCGTTGCCGCTGGCCGTTTCATAGTCAAGTACATATGGCGGGAGAACCGATGGTGTGGCGGCCTCCACTTTCGCTGCGTGCGCCGCTGCCGCCGCATTTCCGGCCACGAAACCGACATTAAAATTATATAAAAAAACTACGGCACTAAATTGCAAAATTAGCAGCAACCTGCGCGATGATCTCGTTTTTGTTGTTGCTGCTGCTTTTGACGTCGCAGTCGACGTTAAACAATGTCTGCTTCTTTGTTTTTGTGTTTTGCATTGCGGTAAAAAACTAGTTTTGAATAAATTGCAATTGAAATTTGTTATATCACATTCAATGATTGTTTGTTGTTGTTGTTGTTGCCAGGCGGAAATCTCTGGCACAAGACTCCGAGCAACATGTGGCGTTAGATGTGCGTTATTACTTTTGCAGCCTTCACTGTTCCGACATCTTGGACTTTGTTTATTATTGATGCTACTGCTGTTGGTGCTGTTGTTGTTGCTGCTACTTATATTACTATTTGGGTGCTGCATGCGGCTCCATCGTACGACGTCGTTTTTCATTGTGCGTTTTATTTGCAGCACCAAATTTATATATTTGTATAATTGCTGATCCGGTGTGTGTATTTGTCGGCGTGACAAAGTATCTCCGATTGCTTAAGCTGTGCGTTAAATGCCCGATTTTATTTATTGATGCGTCGATGTTGGGAGGAGTGCAGTATGAAGGGAATTTCGGCTCGTTAGAAAAACATTTGTTTTAGGTTCTGCAAAAAACAGAGGAATATAGCAAATAATTGATTAGAGCTTTAGCAGATACTGCATTTTAAATCTTATGTATACAATAAAATCCAACAAATATAAGGGTGTCCCAATATCATTGGCTAAGCACTGGTATTTAATGACAACCACAGAATACTTTATTCAAATAGTTTCTCACACTTAACATAACGTTTTTCAAATAGTTTTTATACTCTGTACATAAAATGTACAAGAGTACAGTAGGTTTGCACCTGGATCTCAGAGACTATAAGAATAGAGACACCAAACTTTGCACAAAGATGCGTTATGTGTGTACGCTGTGCAAATTTGTTTTATTTTTTCGGACATTTCTCTCGTCATGCTGATTCAGAATATATATACTTTATGGGGTCGGAGATTCTTCCTTCTGCATGTTACATACTTTGCACAAACCTAACGTACCCTTTTTACCCTACGGGTACAGGGTATAACTATGTGTCCGTATTCCAAGTTTATACCGATTTAACAAGAAGTTATAGCCATAAATATATTTGCTGTTGCAGCGCTGCTCAAGCGCTGCCCGCGGCTGTTGTTGACGCTGGTGCTTTGATTGACTGCATGCTTACACAGACATGAATAGACGCGCATAAACATACATACGCTCACATAGACGCAATTGCGTTGTATATGTGCAATTGTACACCCTTATACCGAGAGAGGTAAAATCAATCCAAATCTTTTTTTAATTTTCTTAATTTTTTAATTTTTATAATATATATTTATATATATATTATTGTAAACATACATATGTACAGAGTATTTCAAAGTCGGGACACCCGACTTTGTACTTGTTAATACTGCGCCTATCTTCGAACACTGCTAAATTAGGAATGAATACATACTCTTTCTTGCCACTATACTTTCACATGTGCGTTGCCAGATGTCTCTTATTATTTAAGGGATGCCATATGAGGTATAATTACATAATTTGAATATTAACATATGACTATTCGCTTTTAATATATATACACAAATATATATCTTCCACAAATTTCAGTACATGTATGTGTACATTAGTTGAGCTTTCTAATTATCGAGACCTCTGTATGCACTTTTTCCATATATTTGGTATCTGAGCTTGAAAAGGTATAACATTTTAGATATTTCGTTTGCCATGTCATAAATTATTATGAGTAAGGCGAGTAGAGAGCGTTGAAGTTGTGCGAGCTTCAGTAGTATATGTCCTGTAATCGTTGTTTATATATTAATAAATCTATAGTCTATGTCCGATCGTTCGTATAGCAACTTTTCTTAATAATGCACAGATTTTTATCCAAAGGGTATAAAAATGAATACCGCATATTTGACAGTTCCATAATACTTCTGACGCTCTTAAATACGTATTTAAGTCAACTGAAAAATAGACCCTGCAGTCTACAATTCTCAGTAAATATTAGCTTAAGTAAAGGACAACGAGTTCGTTCATGTCTGCTGCCACTTTTTGTTTGTTTTCGAACTGATTGCCTACCTTTGGGCTGCATTTGATATTCATTCGTAATGCACATAAAGTATAGCAATGTTTCAAAATTGACGCCGCTTCTCCTACATTTTGAGCAAATCAAATGGCCATACATCATAACTAAATCACAGGAATTTTATCAATGCATACTATACAACAGAAACACACACGCATCCACTCACTCCCACCATTCAATTTGTCTCAAGTTTTCCAAGTTGGTGGCAGCGACACTTCACTTTCGAGTAGCATAGACATCCTGTCGCCTTGATGATAGTGTCGTCATCATCATCATTATCATCATCATTAACTTTCATCAGCAATTTGGCGCGTCAACTCCCCAAATATAGTAGTTGTTGCCTTTGTTGGTGCTGTTGTTGACTTTGACACCGTTTTGCACTTTTCGTTTACTTGAGGCATATGAGCACGCCCATCTGAGCATATTACGAGCCTCTGTCGGCGCCTGTCACTTTGACAGGCACTTATTTTCTTATTATTAAGTATACGTTCGGTGGGTCGCTAGACTGTGTGCAGCATGCAAAAGACGAGTGCAGACTTAAAGTGCGCAAAGTAATGATTACTTTGTGTCTGCCGCTGACAAATGCCGTCAGTCAAAGTCGAAGCTGAGCACAAAACTGCAGTGGAAGGCGGCTGACAAATCCTTTCAGTAATGTCCGCTTCCCGCTACTTGAGAAAGCTTCGTGATGGAGGTTTTACGATTACTGATATTCAACATCTCCACTTCTGGGATGAAGGTACGGGAATGTCAAAAACATATGTTCTATGTATTCTGTCTATTAAGTAATAAATCTCCCAATGATGTTACAATATTATGCTTCCAAGTGGGAGTTCCTACACACTCGTATATGTGGATGTGCTTTTTATAATGAACACAATGAGGTCTGAGAAATTCAAATTATACATAGCATAAATGTAGTGTATATAAATTATACATAACATAAATGTAGTGTATATAATATGTATATGTAGCATTTTGGCTATCGTGTTAACGTCCAAAAAATCATCATAGTTTTCATCTAGATCTATTCAACGAGCACTGTTAGTTGTTGGTGATCGAGAAGCTTTAGTTTTACCATCAACAGAATTGTGTGGGCATGCAAATCTTTTGTGGGAGCACGATTCAAGAGTCTACTCGAAAAGTTTAATTCCTAATGTTATGCATTGATCCAGAATCCCAGGAATTCCCTAATTTATTCTTGTTGTCGATGATAAAGTTGGGCCATAATCTCTACATTCTTTTTACGAACATTTTCAATTGATACTGCTTATAGTTTATTGTTTTTCTCTGTTATATGCAGAAGGAAGCATCTGCGACGCCATAAAGAATATACATATATTCTGAATGAGCATGACGAGAGAAATCAATCTAAAAATGTCCGTCCGTGCATCTACCTGCATGAACGCCTGGATCGGAAACGGCTGAGCGCACGTTAACCCAACTTGGTATGCAGAAGATCCTATTTAATAGTCTACACGAGGTTATTTTTTTTTATTCGCCCCATCTCTTCCCGCTTCAGAATTTTGTCAAGAGCTCTATAAACCAAATCACACACAATCGATATATCATTATCTACTATTGTTTCGAATTTCGTGCAAATCGTTTAATTCTAAGAAGAGTTATTAGCGAAGCAATTTCACCAATACTACGTCCGCAAACTGACTTGCTCGACTGTACACGTAGGTTCTCTATTGTTTTCTCTCTTTCCATCACACTGAAGATATCATTCAGCAGTACTTTGGAAATTGTCATAATGAAATGAAATGGTTTATTTTAGATTTTCACGCAAATCAATCTCCCATCCCTAGAAGTGACAGACAAAAGACGCATGCATGCATTTCACGGTGCAGCTGTTGAGAGTCAAAGGTGTTGCGCATTCATGTGTGAGGGCGACGATAAGAAAGGACTGATTCAACTTGACTGCCTTTTAAGCAAAACGTAGCACGCTTTCCGGTCTTCCAGCATGGGTCGCTGTTCGCACTGTTCTGATTGTGAGGATAGAGTTTTCTTCTTTGGCTATATTTTGAAGTATTCCATTTGCAAGTTTCTAATGACTTTTCAGGGCATGTATTGGAAGGGAAAAGTTTTTCAGTTCGACGCCAGTTTCCGTTGAATGTTGCCGAAGTTCAGACTGCAAGCTCAGACTCGGCAATGAATTAGCCAAATTAGAGACACGGAAGTTCGTTTTGGCTCCAACCAGAAAAGTTGGCTAACATTTGGACAAAACGAAATATTTGGACAACTATTGTTGCTCGCAGCTTCCATCAGCAGAGGCTGTGGAAGCAGAAATTGCAGGCCTCAAATTGAGAGCCGCTAGGCAATTTCCTTCATTGCCGGACAAAATTCAATTTCCTCATCGTACACACTTAGCCGTGAAACATCCCCAATAGTGGGGTGGCTATGGGGCGAGGCCGTAAGCCATATTTCCGCTGTCAGTAGCTTTAATTATGCGCTCAGTGTCGTCAATAGTTGAAATATGGCTGTCGGCTCTGCAGAGCTTACCCGCTAGGGGCAACTCATCATCAGTCACAAGCATATTTCGACAATGGGGCATTAGTCAAAAGTCAGCTCGCTGACAATGCGCAAAGCCCGTAGCCCAATATCAAAATGCTTTTCATGCATATCCATTTTGTTTGGCTGCCTTTGCCAATGGGAGGCAGTCCATTGGCTACTCCGCTTGGCAAACTCATTTGCAATCGAAACTTGTCCACAGGCGACAATCAGTGCGATTTGCTGAGCCGTCACTGATACTGATGCTTATGCTGAAGCCCGATGGATTTTGTGTATGCTCGGTCGATGCGAGTGTGTGTTTTTGCTTTGTTGTTGATGTGTTTTGACTGTCACGACTTTACCATCAATATATCCATCTGCATAGAGTATCGTCGCAGTGTCTCTTTCCATTTCCAGTCTCTACGGCCTTGAGCTTCTTCTTGTGCTCACTCTTATTCCTTTTGTTGGCCATTTGCTGCCGTCATTGAGAGAAATCGAACGGCAGCAACTTTTCCGCCCTGCCTCAATTAATGGGTCTGGTAGTGGCTAATACATAATATATATACATACATATATGTTTATGTACATAAGTATTTTGTGATAGGTTGGGCATGCAGCATAGCATATTTACAGGCGTTAATGAGTATTGTTGTTATTGTAGTGGTCTAAGCTGTCAGCGCACAGATGTCTTGTACAGATTTCTTTTGCAATTTTCTCAAATGGGAAACGTCATGACCAGGCAATTAGATTTTTTTTTTTTGCTGGCTTCTATTTATTATTATTATTGTTTTTTTTTTTTTTTTGTTTGAGTAATTATGTGCCGTAATACATTTGTATTTGGCAGCCAAGATTTCAGTTCATAATCTTAAGAGAAGACCTATCAGATTGAAACTTCAAGCGATACAAATTCAACGAAGAACGTCTAGATTGGGTCATCACAGAGGATTAGATGCTGTACATAACAAAACGATTCCACAGAACGCTTTAGTCCTTTGATTATT